TATTTCCAAATAATTAAAGTTCATGCTGTTATCGTCATTTTAATGTGCCTATGTTGAAAACCATGGCAAATCACATGTATGTCAAAATTTTAATCTTCCTCCCATCAAAGAATAATGAACTGCAATTCATGTCTCTTTATATTCCACAAATATCATTAAAGTTTTGTTTTGAGGAGGTCTCTAATCTTTGAGTATATTCATTTTCTCTCTCTCTCCCTCTCCCCTCAATCTCAAATTGAAACTGGGTAAGAAGGAAAGGAAACAATGAAGAAAAAAAGAAAAATTTAAGTGTGCTAAAACAATAAAAAAGATTGTGAATAGCAGAAAACAGAATTAGGGAGAGGAAAGAGTAGAAAGAAATGCAAAGTAAATTTAGGAAAAGGCTGAATCTAAATCAGCCTTTTTTATTTTTTAAAGAAGAGATTAAAGTGTCTTTAGACAAAATAATACTTTCTTAAAATGAGTATTTTTTTCCCTCTCATTTCAAAATAAATATCATGTGAAAATATTTACAGTATAAAAATAAGTTAAGGAAACTTCCTTCAGTGTGAGTCTGGATTATAATTAAACTTCTAAGAATGGAGAGATATATGGGAATATTGCAGAAAACTTAAGTGTTAAGTATTCTGGAATTATAAAGATGGAAGTGATTTTTTAAAACTTTAAGTGAATTTGAAGGAAATCGTAGAAAGGGTGATGAATGAGTGATATTGTTAATGTATTCTTAAGAATGAGATGATGCTTTCTGAATGCTACTTGTCATTCAGGGTGGAGATGTGCAGAGATTTTTAGTTTGCAAATGTATTGGATCCAGGACTTTAGTTTCTTGCCAGTTGCCTTGTCAATTTCTTTTCAGAGCCTAGGGCATTCCATAAAGATAAACTCTGCTTAAAGTTACCTGAACTGAACTTGACCTGGTCTTCTATCAGGATTATAATTTTGAGGGATCTCTAAATCTTTCCAATCTCTATGTTAATATGGTCCAGTGTTTATTTTTTTATGTTTCTGATGTTAATTTTTATATCTGAATATGAAATGTACAACACCCCCTTTCTTCAACTCCTTCCTGGTTATTGGGATTCTGTGTAGTAAAAAGTACAAATCAAACATACTGATAGATTTTTCTACCTTTTGTGGCTGTCTGTCAAAACAATTCTTGTACAAAGGAAACACTTGTCTTCATTCTAGATAGATGCATTCAAAGGAAGTAGAATTAATACTAAAAGTTAAACATGCCTATACTAACATGATGCCATTAGTCAACCCAAGTTAGTAGTAAGTGGAACCCACTTATGCAATTCTCACTTTCTCTCTACATATATACGTATATATGCATACACATATATATCTTCTTTAAAATGTCAGTCTCAGCCCAAATATTTATAATAATACCACTCTGGCCTGAAAATTGGAGGTGGTTTTTATTAACGAAGCTTTTGTTTTCAAAACTCTAGATAAAATATGTCTATTTTTGTGATTATCGCCTTCTTGAAAAACAAAAGTGAAATGAAAAAAATTTTGAGTTATTTTTCAACTCACAACATGCAATATTCTAATAAGTTTCCATATAACAAATATTTTGTTGTAACAGAATCTGTGTGGAGGAAATAAATGTCACAATGCATTTGCCTTTGAAATGCCTATAATTATGATATACCCGATGCTTATAATTTGAAACAATATGTTTAGTAGCTGGAATGCTAAAGAAAATAAAGCAAGAGTTGACTACTCTTATGAGTTAACCAGAATATATGCTTGGATAAACTGCTAACAGAAAATAGTCATGTTTACTTTAGGTGATTTAAAATTTTTGTTAAATTTACAAAATAAAACTGCCCTTTAGTATTTAATCTAAGAATAATGACAAAAAACTATCTTGATGCACAGAGAGAGAGAGAAAATATGGAGGTTTTTGGTTTCGTTTGGGGTGTAAAATAGGGAGACAAAATTAATCTAACCACCCAAAAAGAAAAATGTCAAGTGGCATTTTTTATCCTCTTCCATGGAGTTGCTACACATTTTCATATGGATTGCTATTTCCAAATTTAACCTACATAACAAGGGATTTACTAGAGGTATAGTAATGAAATTGCAACATAGTAATCACAAATCTAACAGTCTAGGCCTTGGGAACATTCTCCAGTTGTATTTTAGAAGGAGATATTTAAAACATATTAGTTTCTTGAAAAAAATTCTATTATTTAAACACTAAGTAATACAAAAATGAAAATATACCCCAAATTAATTCTGAGTCTTTTGTAAGTTAATATTTGGACTCATTACCCAGTGTGTGTCCGATTGGCACACTATAAAGTGGATTTACCTTACCTGATTTTGAAAAGTATCATGCTTGGAATAATATCAAATCACTGTTCTGGCTCTTCTGTGCTCTCTCATTTGAATAACATGTCACTTTCACCAAGTACATCTGAACCTTCTATTTTAGAAAAAGGGGAGTGAGGCTTCAAAAGATTCTGCCATGCATCACAACAAGTAAGCTTAGACCTTCACAACATATATGTTTTTTTCTATTAGAAGTTTTTCTTCCATAAACTGCCTTCACAATTTTAGATCTATATTTGTTGTTCATAAATGATTTGGTGGCCTCCCTTTTCCCCCCTGGCATAACTTCAAGGCCAATTTAGAAAATATGTATTATTTATTGCTCTGTTCTGAATTCAGTGATACAGAAATATAGAATCTCTCTCCTTTCATCCCTCCCTCCCTCTCTCTCTCTTTCTTCACATCTTAATGATTTAGATCTATTTTATCTCTATACAAACCCAATTATTTTGACTGAGCTTCCTAACTAAACTAATTGGTGAAACTGACTAGAAACTAAATGGAAATCAAAACTATTGAATAGTAGGTATAGGTCCTGTAAAATTGTAAAACTGGTCTTGCAGGAAAAGCCTAAAGTTAAATTTTATGAAAAATAACAATAACAACATATTTCCCTGAAAGACTTAAACAGCATATTTACCTTCTGCATTTGTAGAGCAAATCCTATGTGTCTTTTTCACTGTGCCTATTATATCAGGCCAATGAAACATTCTTGGTAGTAATTCCATATTTACATCATGGGATAGCATAAGAGTTTAAAACACTATGAGAATATGAAAAAATATGTACTCTGAATTCATTTGTACTCAAAGAAAGATTACTTTATTGGAAGTAACTGAAAATTTATTATCTTTCTTTATTGGGTTTACTCTTTAACAGAATTTATTTTTCTCCATTTTGTAAAACATTTAAAAAAATTGAAATACATTCTGAAGTGTGGTTTCAAAGTCAAGATTTTCTCTCAATAAAGGACAGATAATGGAAATTATTGAAGTAATAAAATGGACAATAGGATTAAATGTGCTTTTAAATGTGGCTATCAGAACCTTCTCATGCAGTCACATTAACTTAGTTTTAATCTGCAATTAGGTGTCCAATTATGGTTTAAAAATACAATGGCATGATTAAATAAATGGGTATACCCATTTGTTGCTCTTATTTCCCATTATTTCAAATTTGTAAGAATCATCAGTGGAAAGGCGTAATGCTCAGGTTGGAAATATTTGAGTTACTTCTATCGTTCAATAACTCTGCCAATCTTATTTGTTAAAAAACAATATAGTATCGACATCTGGGATTTCTTCTCAAATATCCCAAAATAGTTGTAAGTATACACACAATTTTCAAAGCTGTCTTTTTACTCACAGAAAAAAAAAAAAAAGAAAAGTAATTTCAATTAATGCATTCTTATAATCGAGTCATTTATTTAATCGTATTTTTCTCAGATAGTAGCTTGATTATAGTTATGTGTATAAGAAACTTCCCATTTGTTATACACATAATATTATAGCTAGGTCCTCTATAGAAGTTGAGAAAATACCTTTTCATAAGCTATTTCTTCTAACTTTAAGTAAAAGAAAAAATACTTCTTGAAGAAGATAGAACGCATTGCCTTGTTAAGATACTTGGGTTACATTTTATCTCACAATGCATTCTTATTAACAGTCAGACATCTCTTCCTGACTTGCATGCACCTCATTGTCCTGACTGGCTTAGCCTTCAGACCAAAGACAGGTATTGTTGAAACATGACCTCATTTTAGTCGAAAGAATATGTTTCTTCTTTAGGTAAGATCAAGGTACCATGTATCATCTCTTGTTTTATTCTTGTAATCAATAGGACATTCCTTCCTAACTTTTCCACATTGCATTGACATCCTTCAAGACTTCCAAGACTGCTTAACTTTAGAAATACAAATACATAATTCCTTAAGAATTTTTCTACCGCTGAGTTTTTCTTTAATGACAATTTGTCATCTTAGCCCTTTCTTCTTAAAATGAGAAAAGAGAACTAAAAATGAGATTGGGGGAGAAATGAAACTTAGTTGAGTTTCTTTTGACTGTTCCTGGGGTATTTTAAGATATTTGCAAAAAAGAAAAACTGTAGGTACAATGCTGGTAACACAAATGTATTTAAAATGGTTGTTTTCTTTAGAAATTAGGATGTATAAGGAGAGGAAGGAAAATGGTGCTACGCAAGTGAACTTTGACAGTAAAAATTTACTGAAGCTTCTACCCACACAGATCAGTAACTGAGCCAATTAGGGACCTCAAACTTTTGCTAAAGTATAAGGTATAGAGATTTTTAAATGATTTGGGTTTTCAAATTATTTAAGACATTGTGTGCATTTCCAAAGTTTTTTTTTTTTTTGGTGTCTACAGGAAACGCTATTTATTTATTTATTTATTTTTATTTTGGCATATTATGGGGGTACAGATTTTAAGGTTTCAATAAATGCCCTTTCCCCCCCTCCCCTCACAAGTCTGAGTTTCCAGCATGACCATCCCCCAGATGGTGCACATCTCACTCATTATGTATATATATACCCGCCCCCCTCCCCCCTCCTCCCTGCCCAATACCCTATTACTGTAGTACCTATGTGTCCACTTAGGTGCTACTCAGTTAATACCAGTTTGCTGGTGAATATATGTGGTCCACAGTTTTTAATGGTATATTTTATTGGCACAAAACGTTAAAATAGCAATATTTATTAAAATATTCTCCTTCTTTAATGCTATAAATATTAAAGGAATTCTTTCATGAGTAAGCTCTGAAAATACAGTGATAACGACTCCAGATTATGGGTGAGATTCTTGCCTCATCAGGTGAAAGTGTCACAGATTGTGCCCAGGGGACAGCCATATTTTAGAGATTTTCATTAAAAAAATAATTAAGTTTTGTGGGTGGAATTACTAACTCAATTCAGTCACTACTGACAAACCCTTGTATTGTCATTATTGCAATGCAAAGGCTAGCAGCTCACCGGTACCATGTTGATGAGCTGTAATACAATGGGACACTAACCTTAGTTGGGGAAAAGTATGGTGACTTTATCCATCATGATCAACATTTAAAAAGAAGTAGAATTTAGAACTTAAACCTTCTCCTTTGTCCATTGTTGGATTACATTCTGTTCTGTAGGTATAGAATAGGATGTTTTCTTCCTACTTTCACTTGCTAATACTCTTGTCAAAAATTACAGATCAATCCTGACAGTGAAAGAACCAACATCTAAGCACATTTTCAGCTCCCCTTCCTGGTCTCGTTGCTAGAGAACACAGGGTAATGAAGGACATGAGGGTTTTATCTTGTATTTTACTCCGAGTGCCCATGAAAACACCACCTGGGTTTTATAGAAAACTGCTCCAATCCACTATGAAAAGAGAAACATAGCAGTGCCCCAATACCTTCCATGAATACATGAAAGAGAATGTTTGAGGAATCACATTCAATCATGTATCACATTACATAAATACTCATTATTTTATTAATTATTCCATTAACTTAATATAAGAATAAGAAATTTCTTACATTTTCAGGATGCCTTCATTCTGTTTTTTCAGCTTTTTTTTTTTCCTGCTGAAACTATATGATCCCTGAAGCAACCCATGTGGTTGGCAGGACTTCATTTATTTATTTACTCGGTGAACAAAGTTGAGCAAATTGATGGTAAGCACTGTTCTTTCTAGGTGTTGAGAATGAAGCAAGTGAGCAGGTTGTGACTGAGCTGATGGGGCGTTTAGTGTGGGAGGAGACAGAACAAGTAAACAAATGACATTTGCGCTAAGAGGAAAGAAAAATATTGTAATGTGATTAGGAGTAATGCTTCGAGAACTGGCGTTATAGTCAGAGAAGGCCTTTTTGAGAAAATGATGTACTTGCTGAGATTAGGAGATGAGAGGGAACAAGCTGTGAGGAGTCCGGAGGGAGGAGCTTTCTATGCAGACCTGAGAGGAAGCCATGAACTTGACATTTTAGAGAGAAAAAAAGGTCATTGTGTTTGAAGTGAACTGCATGTGTTGAGGAGAGAGGGGCTGTGGGTTCTGATTAGGATGAGTAACAGCTGGCTTTCTAATCAGAGATGGCATGATATGCCTAAACTCGCTATTAAATAAAGAAGGACAAGAGGGGAATGGTGGATCCATTTAAGGGGTTGTCATAATTGTCCTGGAAAAGATAGTGGTGGCTTGAATGAGGAGGTAGCAGAGGAGATGAGGACATAGTGCAGCAGAGATTCCCATCGTTAATTTAGGAAGATGTTCTGTAAGAATAAATGCAGCATCATGGCATATATTAGGAGGATAGGGATGAAATAAAGCCTCAAAATATGATCTTTCGTGGCGAGGGTTAAGATTCTAAACAGAAAAATCTATTTCAGGTTATTTAAGATCCATCTTGCAGCATCTATTATTGCTACATGGTTCGCAATATAAGGCAACATGATAGACGTGTGTGAACCCTGTGATATTGTTGCCTTCTTATCACATTCTCCCTTGTATTTCAGAACTATTAATACTGCTTTCTCTAGTACCCCATGTTTGTCCATACCATGCCCGTAACATGGAATTAATACACTCTGACTCATGGTATTCTTTAGGGGTTTATTAAGATAATACACATAAGCAGCATTCTGAGCACTGGTAAGTGTGGCAGTGGTAAATGTGGCACTGTGTAACAATTTAAGCATTTGGTAATGTGATTATTATTTAGCAAAATAGTAATAGCAAAAGAAACAGCCATTGACCCAGGAAGACTCATTTGTGTTTTTTTCTTGAGGAAATCGTCAGTGTTTTTAAGAAAGAGCACCTTTTCAATCGTCCCAAAATTCTTGACATGATTGAGAAGAGTTTATCCTGACTATATTTATAGACAGAGTCTATATTCATAGACAGTCAAGTTCCTGTCTATGAATATTCGATTAGGGTAAAGGACAGAAATTGTATGAGAGCTACAATTGACTGTACTTACCACGCTCTGCTCTCTGGAATTCCAAGAAAATTGTAGCAAGGAATGGGGATGTGAAAGCAAGTGATGGAACATTCACTAGGTCAGGAGAAGCCACCCAGTAACAGTTTATGACCCATTAGGTATTGCCTTTTGGTCAGTAGGGGGCCTTGGATTATTCCTCTGTGTTTATCCACACATTCATTGAATGAATGTAGTAGTACCTAATGTGTATCAGTCTCAGCGAGGTTTGTAGACTTGGAGGCAGAAACAACTAAACTTAAACCAGAACAAGCAATAAAAACACTAGTTTAGCAATTGTACAGCTTTAGATTTTCGAGGAAAGCTTGCTTGTGGCTACAAAACAAACACTTTTGACTCCATTCATTCAGTTTTTGTTGGAGCTACAAAGGAAAGAGAGAATGAGAGGAGGAAAAAGAGAAAGGAGAAAGATCCTATAAAACTTATGGAAAAAGGAAAAGTATCAGAGCCTAGAGGGTCTGTGAGAAAGAAGAAAGGAATATAGTGCTTGCGGGAAATACTGTTAAAAATAAGTTGATTGCATTACCCAATGTCCCTAAGGTACTTGAAGATTGTTTTGGGATTTAGTTCCTATGATCTTTTTCATTACACTTTTTTCTCTCTTAGTGCTTTCCTCCCATTCTCTTGAATATCTCTTTCATCTCTTGATAAACAGTCAGAGTTAAGTTTTAAAACTTGATATTCAAATCTGCATTTCAGAGTACCAACTTAGTTCCCCAAATAGTTCATGCAATTTCTTTTTAGGTTATATAGACCATCTAAATAGAGTGCCAAAAAGGCAGCTTGGAGTAATCAACCCTTTTACATGCTATTTAATTTATATTGCTGAACCTGCAGCATTATGGGAGAAATACTTTACCTCATCTAGAGAAATTGCCTTGGAAATGTTCTATGTCCATTACAAGTAATGTATACGAAGATAACCTGTTTTCTTAGATTTCAAACATGGTATGTCTTTAGATTTAATGGAATACATACTAAATAGATATTAGGTTAAAATGATAAGAGATCCAAAGCTCAGGCATCTAAAATTTTAGAAATGCCTAAATAAAATATTGAAGCAAAAAATCTCAACCAATTTATTTGTAGTGTAAAGAGCTTACATGTGGGTTTAGTAGATATTTGCTAGATGCATGTTTCGAAATCTAATTTGTGTGTCACTTTAAGTTCATTTTTCATTCATGTTGTCAAAACCCTCTTTGATGATTTGGCTCAAAATTTCAGTACTAAAATCAACATCATGCCTCAAAATAAGTTAAATACTAAACACTCACCAAAATTTTATTTTACAGTGACTGAACCAAGTGAAATTTGAGGCTGGGAGATTTTACATTAATATTTAATTTGGGCCTCACTGTAAATTTGTTTGCTGTTTACTTTAACAGAGGGGTGCCAAAAAAGTTTGGAAATAAATTAATCTGAGTAAATAAAAACAGCAGGAAGAGGAAGGGTTACTTGTGCATTTGTGAGTACGAGGTATGATTTATGCTCTCTGACTGGAACTCTGCTCACATTACACGAAGGGCTTTTTTTCTTTCATAAGGAAAGTACTATGGGAAAGGATTCAAAATGAGTAGAAGGGGGTTATTTATATTTCAAATAAAGCAAAAAATAATTACAAACTACACACTCATCATAAAAGGCATTTGGGCAGGAAATGTTGTGATCCCTTGGAACAAAGCTTAAACCTGTTGGAAAGGGCCGAAGAAAATAAACAAAGCTTACTCGGGTAGTGGTTAATCCAGTGAGACACCTGAAAAATCTAGCAATAGCAAGAAAATCACTTAAGTCAAAAATAAACGTTCAGAGATTGAAGCTACTTAAGTTCACCAAGATTTAGAGATGAATGCCAAAGAGGATTAGTAAAACTCTTCCCTGCAAAATACAGCAGTAATGGCTCCATCACCTCATTGCAACCCATGCCTGAGAATCACTGTGTCAGAGTTGTGTGCAATCTATAATAATAGTAACATTCCTTTTAAAGCAAGAAATCATATAAAGGCACCTGAAGTAGCAATCCTGCCCTTTTCCCTCCCTTCAGCAGGCAAGAGAAAATGATTGGCAGCCTTTCTTCTGTAGTTTCCAAGAGAGAAATAAAGTTGGCTATGGCTTCTGAGATTCCTAGACTCAAAAGAAAAGGCTGCTTAAATTTCTTTGCTCATCATGCTAAGTAACGGCACTCAGACTGACCTTTATGAATGAAAAGGCCAGGTATAGGTGAAGTTTTGCAAACACAAAGGCATACAGCACCCAGGCTGATCAGAAGGTGCTGTGGGTAATATGGAAATTGGAGAAATTCACGGTCTCCAAAGGGGCAGCTCATATTCAACTTGAGCAGATTCTGGTCCTAGGCTTGTAGGTCTTTAGATAGTTCAAGAGAGGCTAGGAACCTGAATTTTTATGCAATATCCCCTAAGTTTTAAATATTCTCTATCCATATGAAGCACAACACACACACACACACACACACACACACACACACACACACACACAACAAACAAATAACATTGTGGAAGTAAAAAAGGCAACCTAATGGATTCAACACCCAAGGCTGACAGCCTGTGACCTGTGATGGAGCCACTGAGTTGCAGACATCAACAGAAGATTGGATGTAGTCACAATGAAAACTCGTTTTAACTAGTGCATTGCAGGTAAAAGGTGGCCCTAGAGAGCCGAGTATGGTACCTAGAAATTCTGGGCGTGTTATTTTTGCAAGTACAGTTTGGAGAGAAGAATTCCAAAGATGAATCCTGCAACTTTGCCTTCACAGCTTCCTCCCCGCTGCTGTACATAAAGCAGAATCAAGGGAGAGAAAGTTGATGCAGAGAAAAACCTTAATGACCCGGCAGAGGGTTAATGATATTGGATCCAATTGTGACTTAGCATAGGCACATGCCACTGAAAGTCATCTAAGAAATGAAACTCTCTTAGGAGTAGTGAGAAATGCTAAGTGGAGATTTCAGCCAGCCTCATCACTCCGGGGGGTTCATGAAAAATGTTCTATGTGGTAACAGCCACATGGTCGAAAAAACATTACTGTGCCACACAAAGATCATTATTAAAATATGCAAGAAAAAAAAAAAAAAGAAGAAGAAAAGACCAAAAGTGAGCAGAAGAAAAATACAGTGAAGTGAAGATAACAGAGAGGTGATTCTGATAAGTAGATACATTCTCATGCTGAGGCACAAATGAGATCACATTTAGGTTTGTGTTTCATCTTCCCAGGCCCTGGGAAAGCTGCGACTTAACGAGGGCCAACTGTGTGCAACCGCACAGTCTTCAGATTTCATACCTTTGTTTCGCATAAGAATTAGTATATCCAAACTGTACCAGTCATTTTTTTTTAAAGTGTTTTCTTTTTTACTTTTTCTTTAGAAATAATTTTAGACTTAGAGAAAATTTGTAAAACTAGTATAGACACTGCCTATGCACCCTTCACCCAATCCCCCCAACACTAACATATTAAATAACTATCATATAATATCAGAACAAAAATATGACATTATTACAGTAGATATATTAACTAAACAATAGACTTTATTCAGTTTTTACCAGTTTGCCTATTAATGACCTTCTTCCATCACAACACACAATTCAGGATGCAGCACTCACTGCATTAAACTGTCACATCTCCTTAGCTTCCTCTAATCTGTTCGAATCTCTCTGGCTTTCATGTACTTTCA